CCCACCCCCGGCATCGAGCAGTGACCAGCCTGTGTCTGGCACTGCAACCGTCTCCGGTCCGGGGAGGTCAAAACCCGCAGGAAAAGCAGAGAGCGGTGGCTGAGGGCACGCTGTGCTTCTGGAGGCACCAAGAGGAGAGGGCGCCCGCACCGCGCTCGGCCTGCGCTAACTGCAGGGGGAAAAGCCAGCATATGTTTTATCACCACGTGTGTTACGATGCAGCAGGGCACAGTCATTATTTCCGGGGAACCCAGTCAGTGAGGAGTCCCCTCTCCCTCTCTCACAGAGCAGGGGAGGCTATGCCTAACTGCAAACTGCACTCGTCATCAGACTTCCCTGCACGCAACCCTCGTTATTCCAGCATAATTTAGGCTTTGTCACTTCAGAGGGTGTTTGAGATTAAAAAAAACCCCAAGCACAGTGCTCTTACATTAAAACAGCGGAGATGACCAGCGCAGGGACAGCAGTTTGCCGCAGTGGCATATCCCGGCGGGCAGCATTTTCCGACGGAGGCAACACCACAGAAATCATTCTGGTGACCCGGCAGTTGTGGTTTGGCAAGGGTTTGGCAAGGGTTTGCCTGTCTGATTTTACCCGAGCCACAGAGAGAGGGGTGTGAAGTCCGGAGAAGTTTTTCCTGAGTTTCGCCAACTGCCCCATCCTTTCCCTAGCAGGACTCCTGTTCATTAACGCTTAAGACACAGGCAAAGAGAGACCTGCTTCTGCTTTTCCCTCTGCAGATGCTGCCAACATCACCTGCTACACCCCAGCAGGCCTGCGTGCCCTGAAAATGTCTGCAGCGGAGGCACAGCTCCGCTTCGACTGCCTGACCCAGCTGCACAAGCAAGACTACATCTTCCTGTGTCTCATCGGCTTCTGCATATTCTTTGCTGGCGTTGTGGCAGCCTGGCTGGCTGGCATCTGCGCTGTCATCTACAAAGTCCACACTTCAAAGGGGGAGGAGGAGGCGGAGTACAAAGACACTTAGGATCAGCCCTACAAACCCTCCTGAGCGGCCATCGTGGGAACTGAAGGCAGGCCCTTCCTGCCCGATTTCCCACAGGATGTCCTATTTTTTTTTTAAGTGAAATAAAACTGCAAGAGGAGAAAAGTCTTCGTGCTCCAGTTTCGCTCACTGTGCTCCCTCCACGTTTCTTCTTCCACTGGGATTCAGGACACTGGCAAAATATTCATTTGGGGTTGGGGCGTGAGAGGTGTGCACAGTGCCAGGCATTTACACTCCCGCTTTGCCACGAGACCGCAGAAAAGCAGGGTCAGCGTGGGGCCGGTCCTGTGACAGGGACAGACTTCAAGAGGCACGACCTGGGGTATGGGAAAGGCCCCAGCACTCTGCTGTGGCCAGGGAGCTCCCCGAGGCCTTTCTGGCCAGAAAGCCCAGCAGAGCTTATTGGGACCAGCCCAGACAGCTCCCTGGAGCCCCGGGGAGTCTGAGAGCTTTCTGCTGGGTACGTGAGCAAGGAGTTGAAAACCAGGACTTCCAGGGGCCCAGGATCCCACTGGGTCTTGCTTTCTTCCTCATTACACCGGTGACAGCAAACGACACCAGCCATCCCCCCACGGCCGGACCCTCTGCACCTCCACCGGCTTACGAACGTTTGCAGAACTGGCAAATCCCACTCCGGTTTTGTGTCACATATCCCTAAAACTAGAATTCTTTCGATGTAAAAACCATTGCTTACGCACACTCCAGATGTTCTTGGAAGCGGCTTGTGTTTTGATGGCCGGGTCCCGGGGTTGCACACGCAGACCAGAACAAGGGGAGATGTAAGTCAGACCCTTCACATGACACAACCGGTAGTCGCCGGGAGAAATACCTGCTTACACCACCGAGTACAGCAACTCCACGTGCGAAACGCTGGCTCCTTCACCCGCCGCTGCAGGATCCGGTGAAAGCAAAGCGAAAAGCAGGCAAAGATTTCCGCCAGCGCGGCCGCAGAGCCATCGCACCGTCCATCGGAGCTGAC